CTACCTTTGAGGCTACAAATTTAGCTTTTCAGCTAAACAAGGCTACCGTGTTGCATGATAGCTAACTTTTTTGCTACATGGCTAAAAATAATTAGTTGTCACCTATTCAGATCATGTTTAGCTGTGGGATCATCCAGAAAGTACGCCCCGTCATCCGCCGTTACGAAACTGCCAAGTAGTACAGCCGATGCAAGCTCTCGTAGCGCCTGATGGGGTAGGCAACATCTTGCCTGCAATGCATGCGTGTGCAGCGGGTTGGCCTATCTCCAATCTCGCGGGCGCCGAGCCCCCGTAACCATCTGAACGAATCTCAGAAAAACGGACGTACTTTCTGGACGACCCCTATGTAGATATTTTTTTTCTCGTGTGGCCTGTTCTTTGTACGTTGTTGTTCACAATCTCCCTTTCCCTCTCCTATCGTCTTCCAGATGTGGTACGCCCACGGGCTGCGCAAGTTCCCCTCGCACGATTGGTCCATCGAGCAGCGCTGGCTGTCCATGCTGCTGCCCCTGCTGCTGTTCTTCAACGGTGAGCGCCATATACCCGCACTCATACGGTTACGCTGAGTGGAACCTACTTCACTTAAATAATCAGTGTACACCATCAAAAAAAAACAAACAAAAAACAAACAAACAAACAGGAAAATACAAGAAATTTGTTTTCGAAAATTCTTTGTTATTTTTTAGAAAAAAATCAAGATCAAACAGAACATTCGTACGAAAAATGCATCGCGACCGTGTTTTTCTGTGCAGACCCCATCTTCCCCATGATGTTCCTGACGAGCTCGTGGATCCCCGGGCTGCTGGACGCCGTCCTGCAGGCCACCTACCTGTGCGGCCTGCTGCTCTTCTGGCTGTGCATCTACCACGGCCTGCGCCAGAACGAGCGCCGCTGGGTGGCCTTCTACCTGCCCAAGCTGCTGCTCGTCGGCCTGCTCTGGCTCGGCGCCGTGGTCATGGCCTCCTGGCAGAAGTGCAACGAGCTGCACGACCCGACCTACAACCACCGCGTGGACGCCGCCGACTACAACGTCAGTATCATTTACCAAGTTTATAGATTTTTCTAGGGTTGGAAAGCCCTGGAAAGTTTCCGGAAAATTCCAGGAAAATTTCTGAAAAAGACGGAAAATTTCCGGGGAAAAATGAAAAATTTCCCAGCATTTGGAAAGTTCTCCGCCATTTTCCGTATATTTTCGGAAATTTTCCGGAAAATTTTCGGAAAATTTCCAACCCTAGATTTGTCAAAATTACCTTTTTAAATCAAATTCGAAAACTAATAAGACAGGTAGTTGTAAACAAAAATATTAGAATGGGATCATAGTAACTCCATGACCATGTTACGTGTTACGCTAGTAAATTCTATGTGTTTTTGTTGAAGGCCGTTGAAGGAGTACAAGTACAAAATTCCTCACGACTTTTTGTTCGTTCTTGCTTTTTTTTTTTTACCAGGGTTACAAGGCGTTCCTGATGACGGTGGCCGGGTTCTACGCCGTGTACCTCCTGTACCTGATGCTTCGGGCCTACACCGACCTGCGCTCTATGCCCTTCTTCGGTAAGCCTCTCCTGTACAGTAACGCGTTTTTTCCCCTTCTAAATTTTGGTTTTGTAAATTTGCTAGCTGCCGTGTCCTTTTGTCAGTCGGACGAATCCCGTCCCAGGTAAATGAGGGTTATATATGCTTCATATATAATCATATATGTTCTGTATATGGTAATATATCTCCTTATATATGACCACATATATGACCATATATTACTATATATGGATTATATTTAATTGTATATGGGCTTGTATATTACCATATATGGGTCCATATATCACCATATATGTTTCGATATACAGCCATATATAGCACTATATTAGCATATATGCTTCGAAACATATATGGTGATATATGGACCCATATATGGTAATATATAAGCCCATATACAAGCATATATGATCATATATGACCATATACAACCATATATGTGGGCATATATGTCGTCATATATAAAGCATATATCGCTATATATGATCATATACAAATCATATATGGCCATATACAACCCCATTTACCTGGGGTGGTAATGTTGTGGATGGTGCGAGTGTGATAGTGTCTCCAATTGGTCACATCTTGACGAAAAACTTTTCACGCGGAAGAGTTTTGTACACTGTAAAAAAATCGTCGTTAATTTACAAAAAAAAATTAAACCCGGATTATAATTTAAGTAGTAAATTTACGAGAGCACATTTTTTACTTGCCAATTTATTTGAAGTCGATACGTACTGCATGTATTTTTACGATTACTCATTGTAATTTTACAACTTGCGTCAAGGAAAATTTTCCTGTAAACCTACCTACTATTTTTCACAGTGTAAAAAAAATATTTCCCGATTGCAGACATGCGTCTGCGCTTCCTGTCGCTGTTCATGATGATGGTGGTGAGTGTGACGCTGGTGCTGGCCGGGATGCGGTACGGCGCCGGCGTCCTGGAGGACGACTTCGTGTCGCAGCTCAGCACCACCTACACCAGCTCGGCGCACTTCATGTGCTTCTACGGCCTGCTCAACTTCTACACCTTCACCATGGCGTACGTGTACTCGCCGGCGCAGTTGCACCCTGCAGGTAAAGTAGTGTGTGGGCTGGGGCGGCCGCGGCGGCGCTACCCCGCGAGTGCAGTGCGGGGGTTATGGGGTGGGGCGGGGCCGAACGGGGTGTGGCGGGGCGGGGTGGGCGCGGTCACCGGGGGTGGCAATGGGCGGGACGGGGTGCGGCGCTACGGCGCTACCCCGCGCGGCCGGGGAGCGCCACCCTGTACAGATGAAAAGTCACGGTTTCGGGCGGAGAGGTCAGGAACGCCGTTCTCTAGTCATACTGTTATAGAGTGCGGCGCGGCGGCGCAAAACAGACACGCCAGGAAAAAAATTATCACCTTATGGCGATAATTTTTTTCATCCTCAAAAAGTTCCGTGAGAAAGAAACCCTCTCTCGCATCTCCTAGAAAAAGAAAACTCAAAAACAAGAAACGGGAGTAAATCTTTGGCCTCTACAAGCCTCTACAAGCTGTTTCGTTCGTGACCTGTGCCCACAGACCAGGCGCTGACCAAGGACAACCCTGCCTTCTCCATGATCAACGAGTCGGACGAGGAGCAGGTGCTCTACGGCTCGGACGACGAGTGCAGGCGGCCGCTCAACCTGTCTCGCTGCAACGACGCCGACGACAGCGACTGAGCGGGGTGCTCTGTGAAAAATATCTTCGTCAACTTTACAACATGTTTTCTATTTGTCATTGACGGAATTTGTTGTAAATTTACGACAGCCCATTTTTTCTCGCCTATGAATTCCAAGTCAAAAAGTTCAATTTGTAATTTTACAAATTCAAGTTGTAATTTTACGAATTCAAGTTATAATTTTACAAATTCAAGTTGTAATTTTACAAGCTCTATATAACTTCATGTAAAATTTTCCTGTAATCCTTATTTACAACAAAGAAGTTTGTCACAGTGTGTCGAAGGTGATGGATGACGGCCGCTTGGATGTTGTTGCCTCGGCGAGCCGTGTTTATCGCCCGCCACAAAGTTGTGTGTTGATGGATAGTACTTAGCGACATCGACGTGTCCGTTTGGAAGCGCGGGAAACTTTGAAAACACATGGCTCGCGCGTTCGTTTGTGAGGTAAAAGAAAAAAGATAAACGTTGAGGAAAAACAAATCCTCTTGATAGAAACTCTTTACTCTGTAGTGATTTGTTCATCTCATGCCAGGTGTTGTCGTTAGCCTCAAGCAACACCAACGGGTTCTTCATAATGCTAACGTTCAAGCCAACGATTACATCGTTCTTAAGCTGTAGTTTTTCAGCGGTATGTTCAGTATTATTCTCATCAGTTTTTTTTGTCATTTAAAAAAAAAATAATGTTAGTAAGGATGGTGTCAATTTTGCTTTTAATTTCCTGTTGGTTTCGTTACATTTTTTTGACTAAAGTGTTATATCTTATCCTTATCATTATTTTTCTTTTTTACCTTTCCCTCGTGTAATGCGAGTTTAATGACTCTTTACTTCTCTTGTACGGGGTGGCCCACAGGTTGCCCACTCGTTCGGCACAGTGCAATTAATACAAAGAAATTGGGTTTTGGGGCACTGTGACACCCCGTAGACTGCCGCAGGAACTGTTTCCAACTGCAATTGTTTCCAATTAAGTATAATGTGATCCCCGAAGTAGTGTGTAAAAGTGCGTGCGCGTTTGTGTGTGTGTGTGACAATAGTGGTGAATTGTTGGTCTTAGCGATCGTGAGCTGAGACCCGCTCCAGAATGCCGTTTGGAGTTCTTAACCACGATTGGGTATACTTTCGTTTTATTTTTTATATCCTTCGATGTGCATATCTCTGAAATACGCCTTTGTTCAAGTCAGCGACTTGAACAAACTGCTCTCTCCTTATCTTTCGTGATTATGCAACCTATGTGATGAATGTTGATATATTTTGCTAATAAATGTCTGTGCGATCGTGTGTAACTATCGATCTTCCACTCACCTGATGTCTTTCAATCAATGGCTCTTTCATAAGCCTAACGGGATGGGAAAGGGTATGACGTGTAAAATATATAATGCATCCAAACTATTTCTTTCGAAAACCAAGACCTTTTCGACTTTGGTTTTATTGCCTCAATCATTTGGGTGGTTGCGAAAAAATACACCCCCCCTAAAAAGCAATTTTTGTGACGCCTCCGCGTTTGGGGTCATCTAATAGGTAAGCCCTATTTCCTCATATTCATTCGGCAAATTACACCGTAGCTCGGCGCCTGCGATACTCGGGGTAGGCCAACCCGCCGTACAGGCATGCACTGTAGGCGAGATGTTGCCTACCCACAAGGCGCTAAGAGAGGTAGCAGTGGCCGGCCGAGCTTTCGTAGGTTCGTAACGGCCGGTAACATGACGGACGTACTTTCTGGATGATCCCTATCGTCTGCCGGGTTGTCTCTTTCCATGTTCTATTAACCGTGAATTTTCTTCCCAAAGGGCCGGTTATCTAGATAGAGCCCTTTCAACGTCTGTAAGAGATGCTTAACGACTCTAGAGCAGCTCATCACTTTTGTTGTTTACAAGTTAGCTTACAACTCGGAAAGTACTCTGCGCCAAGCTTGGCTTCTGGAGTGGCGGGGCGGGGCGTGGCGGGGCG